ACAATGTTTCCAATGCTGTCCCTGCTGGGCTTTTCTAGAGGTCCACCTTCATGACATTTTGTATATCTTCAGTGTGTTCCTGGGGTCTTTGCTGCCTACTGTGCAGTGTAGATGGACAACTCTGGGGTCTACAGGGGCTTGGTGATTCAACTCTTAGGCAAGGAGCATAGCTTAGCCTTTCCCAGAGCCATATTACCCTATTCCCTGTGCCAGTAGTTCAGCTGTCCTTTCTCTTCCCCAGGGACCCTGCTGAGGGGCACATTGTTTGTCTCCAACAAGGAGCCAGTCTCATGGAAGCCCTTGCTTTGACTTGCCAGAGGCCTTAGCCCACCTTTGCCTTCTGCAGGCCTGGCCCCTAGGATCCCAGCTCCTCTTCCTGCTTCTTGTGAAGTCCAGTGGGTTGCACCTGTTTTAGCTCCTTTGTCTCTTTAGCAGAATCTTCAGATGCCACTCAGTGTAGATGCCAAAGGGTGACAATCTGTATCCCAGCACAAACCTGGGGTGACACCCATCCGCTCTGATGGTGCTCCCAAACCAGCAAGACTCCGGAGGGAGACCATGCATGAAACAGAATGTGTAGTCAGTGATCCTGGGACACAGGCTCTCCTAGCTCCAGGGACTAGAGGGATGGCTCATTTTGGAGAGTGTTTGCCATGCAGGCATGAGGACCTGGGATTGGCAGCATCCACATAAAAGCCTGGCAAGATGGCTTAAATGGGTAAAGGCTCCCACTGCCAAGCCTGACAATTTGAATTCAACACTCACATTATAGAAGGAAAAAACAATTTGTTACACAAAAAAATAGAAGACCCACATACTGATATTGAGCTTCAAGCTGAAGATCACAAAAGCAAAGCATCCAGCCACCCGTTCTTGTCTCTGTCTTAGCTCAGACCAAAGGGTGATCCTCAAACTATTCCCGACTTCAGTTGTCCTCAGATTCACTCAGACTGCTATTCTGTCCTCAACATGGCTAGAGATGAACTCTCAGACTGAATGCCTTTAGGACTGCATCAATTTCATGTAGTCAGTGTGGCTTTGAACTAACAGAGATCCATCTACCTCTTAATCCTAAATTCTGGGATTAAAGGTGTGTATCATCATTGCCTGGTATCTAGAGCTTGAGGCTGGCTTTGCTTTCTGAATCATCAGGCAAGCTTTACTAAATCATAAATAATGTATCACCACACAGATTCTTGCAAGTTATCCTTTGACCTCCATAATGCACACCCACAGCCACATACACACAAGTAAGTAATATGTAATTTAAAAGACTTTGGCTGACAAGAAAGATCAGCCGCTAAATGTGCTTGCTGCCAACCATGATGAGCTCAATTCAGTCCCCAGCACCCACATGATGGAAAGAGAGCACTGACTCCAGCAAGTTGCCCTCTGACCTCCACAAGTGCTCCATGGTACAGGTGTGTGGTACATGCACACACACCCTAAATAAATAAGTGCAATCTTAAAAGATTTTTATTTCTAAATAAAAATGTATGTAAATGCATGTGTGTCTCTGTGTGGGTATATGCACGTGGGTGTCCACAGAGGTGAAAAGAGGGGTCAGATTCCTTGGAGCTGAAGTTAATGGGCAGTTGTAAGTCACTCAAAATAGACTCTAGAAACTGAACTCAGGTTCTCTGCAAGATCAGTATGTGTTCTTAACCTCTGAGCCATCATTCCATCCCCAAATGCCACTAATTTGAAAATTATTTGTGTTTATGGGTGCTTTGCGTGCATGTATGTCTGTCCACCACATATGTGCAGGCCTTGGAGGTTAGCAGAATATGTTGGGTCCCCCTGGGACTGTGTTACAGCTGATTTTGATCTACTGTGTGAGTGCTGGGAATCAAGCCTGTGTCCTCTGGAAGAGCAGCCAGTGTTCTTAACCATTGAGCCATCTCTCTAACCCCTCCCCCCAGCAATGTAATTTTTAAAAAAGTGTAATAGGTGTGTTGGTGTATGTCTGTAGCCCTAAAGACCAGGGATCCCAGGGGCTTGCTGGCATCTAGCCAATTGGTGAGCTCCATGTTCCGTGAAATACTCTGTCTTAACATACATGCACACACTCTCTCTCTCTCTCTCTCTCTCTCTCTCTCTCTCACACACACACACACACACACACTCAAAGTTCTTCCTGTCTTCATCACCTAGGAGGTGATGTCCTTCAGCCCCTGCCAGCCTGGGGGGCCAGGGAGTGGCCCCAGATTCTGGGTACCCCAGCTTCAGCCTTCTAACAGTTGTGCAGCTCAGAGGAGTGTGTCCTGGTGCAAAACAGAAAAGGATATGCAAAACTTGGGGTGAGGACACATGGGTTTCTAGAGAACCAACTCCCAGCACATCTGTAGCTCATCCAACAGCTTCACCTGGACAAGTGCAAGGACATGCTCATTCCCCAGTGGAAAAAAAATGGGAGAAGAGGGCCTGAAGTGCAGAGACCACACCTCTCCCAGCCGTTTAGGGTTGTCTGCCTGCTGCCCAGCCCAGTTGGCTCCTGATACCACTTTCACAGTACCCCTTAGCAGCATGCTTCCTCATCTAGGTGTCCCCTTTACTGCCTGAAAGCCTACAAGTCCCCATCTCTATGCTTCCCCAAAGGCAAACCCTGAGCCCCATGTCCCCAAAACCGCTGTTAAGTGTGTCCATTCCCTCTTTAGCAAGTTAAGGTGACTTCAGAGAATGGCCACCAGGGGGACCTCTAAGCACACATCTGGCCAGTCTTGGCTGTTGGGTGAGGATCAGGCAGGTGGGCAGGCACTTCCATAGGTAGCATGTTCCTCACCCTCCTGCTGCCCCACGTCTGTGTGTGTAGGGGTGCAGTGGTCTGTAGGGCTGTGCCTGCTCTGGCTGGAGGAGGGCCCACAGCGTCTCTTAGGCCGGGTAGAGTGTGTGATCCTGGTCCTGTGTGCTCCAAACTGCCGCTCTGGGGCTGGGTGCCCTTGCTTCCCAGACAGCCCAGTGAGCTGGGAGGCCTGGTGGGGTGAAGGGCTATGCTGAGGCTCACTGGCTTTCCCTTTGACTCATGCTTTTTCAACCCTCCCCCCTTTTTCCTCTTTCATTCTGACCCATTTCTGGGCCAAACTTCTGAATCTATTCCCCAGTTAGCATGTGCTCATGATCAGGGGCCCCTACAGCTGCCAACCTGGGCTGGCATGGGAGGGTTAGACAGTATGAAGGTAGATGTGGGGGAGGTTCCTTCAAATCCACCCAGGAAGGGAACAGGCTGCCGGTGTGGGCGAGGCTGGGGCAAGGGCCCCCGCCAGGCTGGCGTCACAAACAGGAAGGACAGCAGGCTCTGCCAGCCAGAAGCCTGTGGCCCCACGCTGGCAGGATGGCCCCTTTCCTGCAGGTCCCCCACTGCCTTCTGAGTTCCTGTCACAAGGAGAAAAGGTGGGGTGGGGTGAAGTGAGGTCTGCAGCCAGGGTGTGGCTCTCCTGGGGTCACTCTGCTTGGGGAGAGATGAAGAGAGATGCCAGGGGCAGAGCCAAAAGGGCGGATATCACTATGGTCATCTCACTAAGCGCCAAGTGATTAGAAGGGCAAGGGCACAGCTGCCCACTCCACGGCCACCTTCAGTTGTATCTCAGTCAGCTAGATGGCTTCTGGTGGCGCCCACACCCTCCCTTCCCCTTCAGGCATTGCGCAAACTCCCCACCACAATCTGGAGGTTATACCCTGCACTAGGGGGATGGGCACCTCTGAGGTGCCAAACAGCCACCTTCTCCAGCTCGCGCCTCTGCCCCCACCATGGGTCTGCTGTCAGTTACTTGGTTCCTGTCTCAACGACAACAGCCATGTGAGACTATGGCGGGGGAGGCCAGGAGTCCTGGAAGCCCAGCAGTGCAATAGACAGAGCTGAGTGAAGTATAAGAGGCAGTTCCTGAAAGGGACTCTGGGGAAGCAGATCCGTCTGGCCCACGGCTTCTGTCCTTTCAGAACTCCTGGTCCGGTGCTCTGGGACATGGACAAGGCAAGCTTGCTGTTCCCCATATGGGACCCCACAGTGTCCTGGTGGGGGTGGAGGGAGCAGGAGCACCTTGGCTGAAAGCCTTGTATAGGCTGAAGCTTGGGGTGACCCTGCCAGGCCAGCCCACATTGGCCTGTACTAGGTCATTGCATCTCCAGGTTAGGGGGTGAGGGAGAGGAATCTTACCTTCAAGATACAGGTTAGTCCTCCCAGGCCAGCTGGAAGGAAGCCAGACAAGCCCAGACCTGAGGTTGGGACTAGCCTTCCTGTTTCTGGAGTGGATGCCAACCCCCTGCCCATCAGCCTGCCTGTCCACGTCAAGGACACACAGACTCCTTCCCTTTCCAGACTGGAAAGCCCCCTCTTGGGGTAGCAGGAAGAAAGGAAGTGACCTTCAGCTCTTCCTAGTCCATCCAGAACCTTGGGCTGAGCCTACAGTTCAAGGTTTGCATGCCCACAGGTCTGTAGGCAGAGAGAGATGTGCATTCCCAGCCCTCCCTGCAGTCCAATGCAGCTGAATCTGCCCTTGAGGCATGTGCTAAGTAAGGTCTCATCGGACTGCACTGGGGCCCTTTTCTAAGGATTAAGATTCTGTGAACAAGGCAGTTCCTAGAGGTGGTGGGGTAGGATGGCCTCTGAGAGCAGCATCTTGTGATGCCTGAGGGTCTGTAAGAACAGGGCCAGCTCAGTGGGGGTTGGGGGAAGTGGGTGTCACTACAGGGAGGGGCCTCAGTGGCCTCCTGGGGAAGTGAAGTTGCTTTCTTTGGGTGTCCTGGGGTTGCATGGTGAACCATGGATGGGGTGCTCATCTGGAGAGGGGGCCACTTCTGCTTAGAATATTCACAGTGGGGCTTTCCTTTTCCTGAGGGCAAGATGGGGCTCTGCCCCTCCTCCACATGCCTAGGTGCTCATCTCTAGGGACCAGCGGGTCGGGCAGGGGGCCCTGGCTGGGCCTTCTTCCTGTCTCTATTCCCTCTTCCAGCAGAGGATGGGGTGGGTGGGGGTGGGGTTGGATAGTGGTTGATGCCAGAAACTGAAGGGGTAGGGTGGGGCAGAAGTGGGAAGGTCCCTGGCCTCTCTCACCTTGGGTAGATGAAACGAAAGCACAAGGGGTTGAGCGGAGGTGCAGCTGTGATTTCAGGGTGCCTCTACTGGGGAGGCTGCTGTGATTTGGAAACCCCGTTTCCTTGGGTGACTGTTTCAGAAGGCCGTGGATGAATTGTGAGTATCTGGTCCTTGAGGCATCCCAAGTGGGGATGGTGGGGATTTACAGGTGTCCCTGAGTCTAGTGTGACAGGGCTTCTTCTTTTTTATCTTGCTTCAGGGTGCAACCCTACCCGGAGGTTGCGGGCCTGGGGGTGCCTGGCTGGAGGTGGGACACTCATGGCCCTCTGGCTCCGCTGGCTGCTGCAATCAGCTCCCATGGGTGCTCCAGTGCCTCAGCCCACAGTCACCATCCTTATCTGGCATTGGCCTTTCACCAACCAGCCTCCAGAGCTGCCTGGTGACACCTGTACTCACTATGGCATGGCTAGCTGCCGCCTGAGTGCCAACCGGAGCTTGCTAGCCAGTGCAGATGCTGTAGTTTTCCACCACCGCGAGCTGCAGACCTTGAGGTCTCGCCTGCCCCTAGACCAGAGGCCGCAGGGACAGCCTTGGGTCTGGGCCTCCATGGAATCGCCCAGCAACACCCATGGTCTCCATCACTTCCGAGGCATCTTCAACTGGGTGCTGAGCTATAGGCGTGATTCAGATATCTTTGTACCCTATGGTCGATTGGAGCCCTACTCTGGACCTACACCCCCACTACCGGCCAAAAGTAAGATGGCTGCCTGGGTGGTCAGTAATTTCCAGCAGAGGCAGCAGCGTGCAAGGCTGTACCGGCAGCTGGCCCCGTACCTGCAGGTGGATGTGTTTGGACGTGCCAATGGACGGCCACTGTGCGCTAGTTGTCTTCTGTCCACTGTGGCCCGGTACCGCTTCTATCTGTCCTTTGAGAATTCACAGCATCGAGACTACATCACCGAGAAGTTTTGGCGCAATGCACTGGCAGCTGGTGCTGTGCCTGTGGTGCTGGGACCTCCTCGGGCCACCTACGAGGCTTTTGTGCCACCAGATGCCTTTGTACATGTGGATGACTTCAGCTCAGCCCGTGAGCTGGCTGTCTTCCTTGTCAGCATGAATGAGAGTCGCTATCAGCGCTTCTTTGCTTGGCGAGACCGGCTCCGTGTGCGGCTCCTGGGTGATTGGAGGGAACGTTTCTGCACTATCTGTGCCCGCTACCCTTACTTGCCCCGCAGTCAGGTCTATGAAGACCTTGAAAGCTGGTTCCAGTCTTGAACTCCTGCTGCTGGGAGAGGCTCTGTGTGTGTGTGTGTGTGTGTGTGTGTGTGTGTGTGTGTGTGTAAGACTGATGTTGAAACCTAAGTACTAGGCATCCAGCCTCTTGGGTCACTATGGGACTAGCCTGAGGCTCAGGTTGATGATCAGGAAGCAGGTATATGAGTAGAGCAGAGTAGGCAGTAGAAGCCATCTGGTTGAGGAAGCTGGTGGACTTTAGAGTAGGGATCTCAGGAAAGAGACAACAGCGTGGAAGGAATTAGTGATCATATCCTCTTACAAGCTAATCAAACAGGAAAGGCAGTTGAGTGTCCCCAACTTACCTTGAACGGACCCATGCTCAAAGCTCAGACTAGACAGGGAGTATTTCTGTAGCTGGGAACATCCTAGGCTTTGACTTTTGGGTACAAAACTACAAGTTCCTGAACCCCCACAGAAAAGGCACTCGCCTTAGGGGCGCAGGTGCATATTCTAGAACTCTGGGTGCAAACCATATGCTGGGTTCAGGTGTGTGTGTGTGTGTGTGTGTGTGTGTGTGTGTGTGTGTGTGTGTGTGTGTAGGGAGGACAGTGTGGCTGATTCTAAGCTTTTGTCATTACAGTCCCCTCAGGGAAAGAGTTGCCACTAATAAAGCCACTGACACAGATCTCCTGGGTCAGGTCTGTGAGGCAGCAGAGGCTACCAGCCAGCCTTCCTCTGCTTATTCCTCTCTCCATCAGTCACAGAGTTTCTTGTTTCTGCCGACAGCCTTAACAATTTACTAGGAACCCTTAACACTCCATGCCCCTTCCCGGGTCTCCAAAGCCCATTGGCTGGGAACTGAGGTCAAACTTATTTAATGCTGGAGGTGTCAAATGTCAGGTCTCAGGTTGGAGGGGTGTCCTGTGTGACAGGGTCTGATTAATGATGGCTGGTAGAGATATCCATGAGGGGATTCAGTGAAAACACGATGGTAGAAGGAGCCCTTGTGCTGGGCTAGGAGTGAGGGGAGGAGATGTGGGGGTGAACCCATGAGTATATGACAGGTTGAGCTCTTGGGATGGGTTGGGACTTGGGCTTGTCTTTGCCTTGGGGGTGGGTGGCAGTGCCGGCAGGAAGCCCCCCTCTCCCCGTGGTTTGTGGGAAAGACCTGCCCATGGCTTCCTGCCCTGACCCAGCCCCCTGGGCTAACTGAGGAGAAGGAAGTGTCCTGGGGCTGGGGAGAGCTTTGGGTCCTCTCACATCAGCCCTGGGGGACCTCTCCTCAATGAAGGAGCTGAGAGATGATGGGAAGCTTTAGCCCTCAAAGGTTTTCATTCATTTTTAAGAGCAATCTGAGTGTCTCAGGCTGGACTCTATACACTGTCCATTGTCCCATTCACAGGTGGGAAACCTCAGCTGGTAAACAGCCATCACACATCACCCTCAAATGTCTCCTGATCGCTGGAGCTAGTGGCCCTCTGCTGCCCCCTGCTGGTCATATACAGAAATTGGTCCTGCAGCACTATCAATAGGCACCCACCAAACACCAAGCTCTGTGTGCAGGAAGAAGCCAGGTTTACATGGATATAGGGGATGGGGAAACAAATAAACCACATATCAAAGGGACAGACTGTCTCCCCAATCAGCCCTGCCAGCCAAGGAGTAGCTCTTGAGGTCGTTTTGTGTCTCTTCACTGTTAAGAGCAGCAGCCCGGGAAGGGTCAGCAGCCACAAAGCATGACTCTAGTAAACTCTTCACACTTACGCTGTCTCAGCACCATTTTTAATATAAACCTAACTTTCTCAGGCCAGAATTAGGACGCGCTCACCCCTAGCAGTTTCCAGTTATGCACTCCCAACCCTTCACGTGGTGCATCTACTTGTGCCTGGTAAGCATTCCCGCTGCACATAGTTTTCTGAGCATCTCACCCTCGTGGCCTTCCACCAGAAAGGTTGCTGTGACCACCACTTGGAGCTCCATGCAACCTCAGTTTGCTTGTTCTAAATGCAACTAAAACTCTGTGAGAAAGAAACCTGTTTGGATGACACCCCAGGCCCCCCAAGAGGTTGGTTCATAGCTGTCCCCACCTGCACGCTGTGTGCGTGGTCACTCCCAGGCTCTGTTAAGCAAAATGCAATCTTCACCTCCACCTGTGTCTCTCCTAACCACTGAAGGTGCCCAACATTTCTCTGCTTGTTTGTTTGTGTTTTAGACAGGGTCTCATGTATCCCTGGCTGGCCCTGAATTCACTATACAGCCAAGGATAACCTTGAATTCCTGATCCTCCTGCCTCTGCCTTTTACTTTTCAGGGACTACACGTGTGTAGTTGCTTTATATTATTATAATCATTTTTAAAATTTTGGGTTTTTGAGACGGGGTTTCTCTGTATAGCCTTGGCTATCCTGGAATTCACTCTGTAGACCAGGCTGGCATCAAACTCAGAGATGCACTTGCCACCTCCTCCAAGTGCTGAGATTAAAGGCATGTGCCACCACCAGCCAGTGCACTAGGCTCTTTTTTAAATATCTAAGTCAAGTTATGCTTGTTGAGCTGCATGTTGCATCCTGGAGCCTTGAGGTTATTACTCACTCACTCTACACAGATGGGATTATGCTAATAGAGCAATGTCCCTTCTCTAAAAGAATGTCTGGCCCTGCTTTCCATCTCTAGTGGTGACCTCGTGGGGACCAAGCCTCCCTCGGTGTTCTGAGAGGATCAGTGGAACATCTTGGGGACTCCTCTGCACAAATCTCCCAACTGGGGGCACATACGTAGAGTCCCTTGGGAAAAAGTATAGGGTGCCCAAGTTCTCCCCAGGCCTCGGAAAGGTGTCAACCTAGATTGATGGCAGCTGTGAGGAATCTTGGGAACACACTGCATTACCGCTGGGTGGGCCGGGTGAGCAGTGAGGCCTAGTGCTATGCGCAGGTGCAGCGGGGCCGGGGCTCGGCGGGCCTGGGCGCCCTCTGGCGGGCACCCGAGCGCCGAGACTTCTTTAAGCGGGGGTGGCGGGCGCGGGCGCGAGAGCGAGTCGCGGGAGCTGCTGCGGCCGCCGGGGCGGAGCCTGCGAGGAGCAGGTCCTGGACTGTCGAGCGCCCCGCCCCCGCGCGGGCGATGCCGAGCGGAGCGGCGGGCTGCGGGGCCCGGCGGGGCGTGCAGAGGAGCGGGCCGCGGCGCTGAGGCGGCGGAGCGCGGCCCGGCCATGGGCTTCCTGCACCAGCTGCAGCTTCTGCTCTGGAAGAACGTGACGCTGAAGCGCCGGAGCCCGGTGAGCGACCCGCGCCCGTCCTCCGGGGCCCGCAGGCCGCGCACCCGATTTGCCGGTGCGCTCCCAGCGTGCACGTGCAGTGCCCAGGCGCGCGCAGACCCCGGGGAGGGCGCCGTCGGAGACCCTGTCTCCGGCCCGCTACTTCCGCGGGCTTCCCGGCTTCGGGTAGCGGCTTCGGCTGTGCCCTCGCCCGCTGACACTCGCAACGCTCGCTCGGCTGAGTCACGGGCCGGCGCCCTTCGCAGCGCTCTCTGGCAGGCTGGGGTGGGGGCAGGTGGTCCCTAGACTTCAGTTCTGGCGAGGCCCAGGTCCCTGGGACAGCGGGGTTGGGGCACACCATTCAGCTTAGGGGCTCCGAGCCCTGAGCCCACCGCCTCTGGTACCCCCAAAGGGACCTGTGTCTTCATTCCCTTCATCGCTTCTCTGCCCTTGGGCATGCACCTTAGGCTGAAGATGGTACCAAACAGCCCTCGCCGCCGCCCTCTTCCTCCGCCGCCTCCTCCTCTTCCTCCTCTCCTCTTCTCCTCCCTCCATCATCTCCTCCTCCCTTCTCCTTTCCTAACCCATCCTGACAAGTCCACAACCCTCACTCCTGTTTTCTCATCCCTGGGAATGTCCTTGTTGTGCCAGTTCAACCTGTCAAATCCCAGCACCCATTTGTCCTTTAGGGCCAGTTTCCCCTGAGGCACCTCCTCTGATTTCTCCTGCCTCGGGCCTCCCTGGGGTCTGGGGCCTGCTGAGCAGAGCTTGGCACCAGGCTTCTCAGTACCTGTCTAGGGCAGCCAGGACATAGGAGTGTTGAGGTAGGAGTCTTGTTTGGTGAGAAGCAGGATGGGGTAGGGGCATGGATGGCGTTGGCCTTGTTGGGTTTTATTCCAGCCCCTGGAAAGGCAAGGACACCCAGAGAGTCTGGGGCCAGCAAGAGTATCCGAGGGCTCTTGGGATTTTGCAGGGTGGAGACGAGAGAGTGTGGGGGCCTAAAGGGACCCCTTGGGTAGCAACAATCCTCCTATGTTCTGCTTTTCGTACTTCAGGTGCATAATAAGAAACTCTGGGCTATAGGCAGGATGGGTAGCAATCATCACCATGGCCTGGCAGGATTCCTGTGGGCACCTGGCTCTGCCAGGACTGGGCACATTCCCTGTCCTGGTTGTCTGGGGCTGGCTGGTGTAGGGTCTGAAGGAGCAGGCCTTTTATTCTAGCTTTTGAGTCACCAGGGGAAGGGACATGGAGCAAGGATGTAGGCATGCCTTAGTGCTAGCCCCAAGTTGCTTGTCAGGGAGGCTCCTTTGGGGCTCAGGAGTAGAGGCTGAGACACAGTCCCTGCATCTCATGGGAGCCTCACACCAGGCTAGAAGGAGAGTCCAGTGAGTTGACAGTCATGTGGAGGTGTCTTGCCTTTTCTTAGGATTGACCGCTGCCTGCTAGGCTTGGGTTGATGGGTAGGACCTTCCCAGGTTCCCATTCTTCAGCTTTCCCAGAGATCAGTTAGACCACAGTGGCACCTTAGCCCATGGCTGCAGTGAGGCACTCCCAGTGGCTTTCTTCCCCCAGGAAGACAGTCTGCTGAAGTCAGGGATGCATTTGTGCAAAGTTTGTGATCTGGAGAGGGACCCCAGGACCTCTGCCCTTCCTGCGTCCTTCTCCCAAGTGCTGTGTGTGCCTCAGTTACCCTGTTGCTGAGGTGTGCATGGGACACTAGTCTATCCTGGCTCCCATGGGAGGCTCACCAGCATTGAGTAGCTGTGGTGGAAGTCCCCAACGTCACACTTGGGTGTCACCTGATCCTTCCACTCCCCCTGACCACCACAATCACTAGGCTGCAGGGGGGCAGCTAAGGTCCAGGGTGGGCAGTGTGGAAACACTGGACTTTTCTTGAGGGATGGAATCCCTGGGTCACTTGCTGTCACCTAAGTGGAACACCTAGGTATTGCTGGACCTGTGCCGCCTGCCTGTAACCAGATGCCCCTGTGGTGCCTGCCACCTGCCAGCTAGGACTCTTCCTCCCAGCAGCTCATGCGCAGACGTTGCTATAGTGATAGGGAGAGGGCCCGGCCTCTGCTGCAGTTACTCTGGCAGAGGTGCCCTGAGCAGGGTGGAGGTGCCCAGGGTAGGGCCGTCTCTTGAACTGTCACCATCAACTCAGTATGTGTGAAACACATGTGTCCTGCAGCCCTGGGTGCACATATCCAAATCACCTCCTCAACTGGCCGTGGACTCGATCCTGGCTGGAGAGGAGGTGGAGGCTGGCACAGGCTGAGGCGGGTGTGGGGTGTGGACACACAGCAGGGTGTTCTGGGTCACAGAGAGCTATTGTCAGAACACAGTAGACACAGCCAGGGACAGGCTGGGCATGGCCCCACACCACTCCTGGGTGGGGAGGGACAGAGGTGGCTTCAGAGTCTGCTTCAGATGGTGATGAGGGTGAAGGAGACCTGATATTACAGAGCCATG